ATTCCATTGGATGTGAATCGGCCAAAAATTAGCTCGTTCACATTCAAACAAATGTGATACTATGCTCAAACAAACGTGACATTTTGCCACGTTCGTTTCAACGTGACGTCACGTTCCTGGAATGAGAGTGCAGCCTACATGCAAAAATATCCAACCCACCTGGAAATTACTCCAACCACTTCTAACTAGAAAGTCATTTTTTGAAAACGTTGACGACGCGAGCGCGTTGAAGTCATTCTACTGCGCGCAACGTAATGAGACACCCATACGAGCTTGGGCCGTGACTCCTGTGAGGTGTTTGAAACGAAAATACGAAAACTATACAGAAACGTCCTTTTTTTTCGCAGCCAACTGGAACACTTGGGAGCGCGAGAAGTGACGGGGAGATCTAGCGGATAGCTCCAATTTTCTACACTCTAAACGTATTTGTACAATCTTGTACGAGCCCTCACACGATTTTGAACGTGCGAAATTTTTCGTACAAATGATTGTTACTCAGGATCGCGCGAATGCATGCGACATGGCGTACAAATTCGTACGAAAAAAAACCTACGTATGCGCAAAATCGTGTGTGCAGTACGTGCGCAAGAGTGAACTGTGACAAGTTTGAGAGCAAACACCGACTTTTTGGAGCATTGAAAAGTACACGATTGCGTGCCAGAAACTCGCACTAGAAAGCAAGTTGCGCGACCGCGACCGGCTGCCCCGAGGGCAGTGGAACGCTACACTAGAACATGGAAGATCGCGGGAGTAGCTGATTGGTAACGTGCATCAAGCGGAAAGCTGGACCAGGGCTCGGCGAATGTGTGTGTGTGTGTGTGTGTGCGTGCGCTGCGATTGGACTTACAGTGGTGGCGGTCACGGGCTCGGGGGCGGCGGGCTTTGTCGCTCTCGTGAAGACATGAACCCCGATCGCACACGGAGGCTCGAACGGCGGCGTCTCGCAGCACAGCGTCGACGCGTCGGTGAAGGGCAACGTGATCCTGGAGGGCGCGGCGCTGTCTTGGACTCGGTGGCTGTGCGCTGCCGCCCTCTCGAAGTGCGGCGGTTGGCGGCCTCGTCGCGTCATCCTGCGGATCGAAAGATGTGGTAAGACCGTAACATTTTCATAAAATCGTGGAATGTGCTCCCTGAATCGGCAATATTGCGCGCGGTAAGGCGGGAAAATTAAGATTAAAATGCCTGTTCTTCCACAAAAAAAAGTTTGCAAAAAGCGCCAAACACGCGGAAAAAATGAAAACTTTTGGTGGAATTGGCTATGATAACGAGCCCAGTATGCGATTACGCTGTACATGAGGATCAATTACAGCGAAAATGGTCACAGGGCCCAAAACATACGTCAGAATGAGGGGGCCACCATTCTCATTTCGGGCGTACACTCTAGACGAGATAACGGAAATTCTGATGGAGGTTGCGCATGAAATTTCGGAAAAATTGGTCCAAAAACGCTAAAAAGGGAAAACATTTCATGAAGGATTACGTGCTGAAGATTACAATTTAAGTTGCACACATGATAACGAGGGTGGAGAGCCCCTCGCGTCAGAACGGTATTTTGGACACTTGAAATAATGCGAGTGTGGTTCGCATAAATTCACTTACCCAGCACATCGGCGTCGTCTGAGAGTGGCTAGCCCCACCATGTCGCTGGAGATCACGTCGCCGTCGTGGAGAGCCGCGAGACCGCTGGAGAGCACGTCGCCGTCGTGGAGGGCCGCGAGACCGCTGGAGAGCACGTCGCCGTCGTGGAGGGCCGCGAGACCGCTGGAGAGCACGTCGCCGTTGTGGAGAGCCGCGAGACCGCTGGAGAGCACGTCGCCGTCGTGGAGAGCCGCGAGACCGCTGGAGAGCACGTCGCCGTCGTGGAGAGTCGCGAGACCGCCGGAGCCGAGCACGTCGCCGTCATGGAGGGCTGCGAGACCGCTGGAGAGCACGTCGCCGTCGTGGAGGGCCGCGAGACCGCTGGAGAGCACGTCGCCGTCGTGGAGAGCCGCGAGACCGCCGGAGCCGAGCACGTCGCCGTCATGGAGGGCTGCGAGACCGCTGGAGAGCACGTCGCCGTCGTGGAGGGCCGCGAGACCGCTGGAGAGCACGTCGCCGTCGTGGAGAGCCGCGAGACCGCCAGAGAGCACGTCGCCGTCATGGAGGGCTGCGAGACCGCTGGAAAGCACGTCGCCGTCGTGGAGGGCCGCAAGACCGCTGGGGAGCACGTCGCCGTCTTGGAGAGCACGTCGCCGTCTTGGAGAGCACGTCGCCGTCGTGGAGAGCCGCGAGCCACGGCGTGGTGCAGGAGAGCACGCCGCCGCCGCGCAGTGCGGTGGCGAGGTGTAGTCTCCTTGAACGGTCTTGTAGAGCTGCAGCACCAGGACGCTGCCACGCCCCGTGGACGTCCTCGGCAGCATCGCGCGCGACATGGCCACGGACACGACCGACCTGACCGACTGCAGGGACTGGACTACTGCTACACCTGCACCTCCGCTACCGTCGCGACGGTCGAAGACCAGGACCTGGGTGCCGAAAGTCGTTTCCACCGCTGTCTCTCTCGCACTCATAGGCCGTTCCGAATAGGTGCAAGAGAGACAGAGCGACGAAAACGACTCTCGGAACCGGGCTTAGGGGCCGGGCCTGGCACCTGCCCGCACCCTGCCCCGCCTGCACCCTGCCCTCCACCCGTCGAACCCTACCCCGCCTCTCCCCCACCCCCCACCCCCCTCACCTGCGCGCTGTCGCTTGTCCACGGCGATCCAGAGGCCGGCCCAGAGAAAAAGAACAGTCGAAAGTCGGAGAAGGACGAGAGGGAGAGATGAAGAGAGAGAATGCAGGGCGTGCAGCGCAACTGGACGCCAGGGTGCGTGGGGCTCGTCACGCTAGGGGGCACACTCTAAAAGTCAAAATTGTCTGTATACTCACGGAATTTTTTTTTTGCAGTGCCTCTTGCTTTGCTTCAATTAGAAGGTGCCAATAAGGGTACCTAAGAAATCACCCCAAACACTGTTAGTACCGTCAGGGCGGCCTCAAACTTCATTGATGTTTCGAGCATCTTTTGGGTGGTAATACTCAACGAAATCAGACCACTTGGCCCCCCGTTCCATTTCAGAAATAAGCGAATGGCCTATGCATTTGCCCCAGTGTGTGTGGGTCATCGTCGTCCGGCCGGAAAAAAAATCTCATTCAACGAACGTTAATGAAAGCAGATGATACTCGTTTGGTTTTCTCCTACGGGGTAGTATGGGCTCATTCCAAAGATAGTATTTAAAAACTGAGTCCTTTGTGCCGTAGCCTGCACCGCCGCGCCATGAGACTAGGGCTTGGCCGCGCCGTGCCGGTTGGCCCCTTTGCGCCGTAGCGGGGAGGGATTGTCAATGTGCAGGCCGTCGCGCGCGAGGAGGGGGTGCCATTGTCGAATTCCGCGCAGGCTGCGCCGCAGCCACAGACTCACCAGCCCGCCCCGGCAGCCAGCCCCTATTAGTATATTGTTAGGATACGCACTTGGTTTTTGGACTCTCGAGTAAAAGCTACACTGTAAAAAAAATATTCTCAAATTTCAGACAAAATTTGACTGAAGTTAATTAACAGTAAGGGGTCCTGAAATTTCAGACCATTTCGGCGGTCTGAAAATTTAGAATAGGGTGGTCTCAAGGTTTAGAATTGGGTGGTCTGAAAATAAAGATTTAGGTGGTCTGAATTATTAGACACGGCCAGTCTGAAGAAAATTGAGACAAAAACACAAAATTGTAACGTTGAATCTTCATTCCGTTGCGAGAGAAGTCTTTGATAGAACTTGCGCTTTACTTATCGGCCGTGCTCTTTACTCGGAAACTCCGAATATCTTGGTATTCGAACCATCGAATCCTCGCTCGTCGGCTTTGCGGGCTATCCATTACACCACGGGACCGCTCTGAGAGCACGGCTGCAGGATGCCGATGACTCCAAGCGCGCTCGCTGGACGCTGGGAGGCCACAAGTAAACAAACCAAGCGCGTGTTGTGGGAGTTAAACTGCAGACAACTTGGGCTGTTCGTGAATATTTACAATTTTGTATCGAGCTCTCAAATTTTGCGGTTAAATTTGGTCAAGTGAGGCAACCAGACTGACATTTCAGAACAATACGTCTCCCGTTTCAGACCCATGGTCTGAAAATACACAACCAGTTTGAAATTTAAGATCAATCGGTCTTCCTTTTCAGGAGAATAGTCTGAAAAGGCGAATCAGACTACATGGTCTTGTACTTAGTCTGAATTTTCAGTCACCCCTGTCAGACTTTTTGTCTGGATGGTCTGAATTTGCTTTTAAGCCTGCGAAAGTCTTAAATTTCATCCGAGGATTCTTCTTTTGCATACTTCTGGTCTTAATTCAGAAATCAGACCACTAGGTCTTGCAAAATTGGTCTGAATTTTAAGATTTTTTTTAACAGTGTAGCTGACACCTTTATGTGTCTTGAAGTTGTAGTTTTAGGTATGTTTTTAAGTAAAGGTATCATCTGCTAAAAATCCGCTGGTGCAATCCCGTCTGAGGGGCGCAAGGACTGCTGCAGGTGCATCATGATTTATACATGAGCCGGTGGAGTCCAGGAGATCGACTTCGTCAGTTAGCCCGGTCAAGATTTTGAAAAACAGGGCTCGGACGACTGAAAATTTTTATTGCGGTTTTCGAAGACCTTTGCAAGGAGGTGTTTAAAGGGGGCCCAGCAGCTCGACTTCGGCAGTTCACAAGATCAGGATTTTAGAAAAAAGGGTTCAACGGTTAAAAAATTATATTTCAGTTTACGATTGGTCTCGGTAAGACATTTTCAGTAAGGGGTCGGAAAGGAGGTCCGGGGGCCAGTGGAGTCTGTGGGAAACGATGTCACGGACTGGTTTTGCGCCGTTGCAATGAGTTAGAAGCACAACAAATTTGGGTATTTTTGTATCTCTCCATTTCTGTTTTTGATTTTTTAAATACGCCCAACGTTCAGTTAAGCAATAAAGGCAACTTCTGGGAAATAATAAAATGAAAATCAAGTAGTCTGAGTCCTCACTTGTCTTTATATTTCTGTAAAATAAGACACAGGCCCAAAATTGGCTCAGCTGTCTAAATAGGCCTCCACAGCGACAAGGTCAGACAGTACTTGGCCGACTTGAGGGCCGGTCCCTGCGGGATGCCGGCCTTGGTCAAGCACTCGACGATCGGATCGACGCGGTACTCCCTCCTGGCTCCCTCCTTGATGGGGTTAGTCCCCGCACTGAGGCGGCAGGCATCGCTGGGCCCGGCAGGCAGGCGGCTCAGGCACGTGGCGATGCGGCCGTCGAGGTCAGCCACCTGGTCGTCGGTGTAGAGGCTCTGGAAGCGTAGCGTTAGAGGTACATAGATTAGTCCAGTGTACGAGTTTTGCCCCATCAATTGCCTCTTTGTCACTGTGGCGAAAAGTTTGCTGCGCTTAGTAGTGTCAACCCTACACACTTAATGTATTTGCACAGTTTTGTACGTGGGCCCCCACAATGTAAGACATGCGAACTGTTTCGTACAAATTTTTACGCAGAAATCCCACAAGTTTGGAAGCACACACTGAATAATTTTGTACAAATTTTGTACGAGACACCACAGTTTTTTGTGCACACAAACTTTTCGTACATGTTCGTACAATTTTGTACAAAAATGGCGAAAAATGTGCAGTTTTTCGCAAGAGATATTGTAAGAGATTTCGTAAGTTTTCGTACGAAAATTGTACGAAAATTTCGTGTGCACAAAAAACTGTGATGTCTCGTATAAAATTGTACATAACATTAAGTGTGCATGCGCAAAATTGTGCGAGACCTCACAAAACAACTGTTCAAAAGAACTGTGGAAATGGACAGTTGTACTACAATGTCGCGCTCCTTTGAGCATTGACATGCTCGTCGTAATGTGAATCAGCCATAAATTAACTAATTCACATTTAAACGGGCGTGACACAAAGCTCATAAAGGAGCGTGAGATCTTGTCACGCTCGTTTGAAGTTGATGTGACGCTCCTGGAATGTTTTTCAAACGGGTTCCTAAGGAGGAAAACGTTAAAACTATTAACATTTCAACTATTTGCGCTGCATTTTCCCTCCAAAATTCGTTTTTCTTTCATTTTTTTAAGGGGGGGGTAAAGTGAAGAAAATCGATTTTCGGTTTTTGCTTTTTTTCGACTCTTTGGGCCTTGGTACAACCAAACCTGACCATATTTCGACCCACAGCACCGTCAAATCGGCATAGGGAGCTTCTAATTCGTACAATCACTGTGAGGTTAGGTTAGGCCCTTTAACTTTAAACCGGTTTTCCTCGGTATCTTTTTTTTGACCTTGCGCGCAGGATATCTCGGAGACCGTAAGAGGTAGAATGTTGTGCGACAGCTTAAAATGATCAGTGTTCAAATAGCTAGAAGACAAGGGAGAGTTTTTTTCAAAATTTTGTCCCAATCTTTAGTTACAGGTCAATGAATGTCCAAAAGCGGCATAAAAACAGTCATGATTCTAGTTTTTAAGATTCATAGCGAAAGAAAACATGTTTTTGAAATCCGGCTCCCTTGTCTTCTTCATTTTGACCTTAAAAAGATGTGGCAACTTCGTCAGATTTTTGGGACAACATTTGGAATTGAAATCCTGCGCGCAAGGATTAAAACCCAAATATGGACCAAATGTAAAATGTTTGCGAAAATTCAAAAAGTGCCACCAGACCCCCAACCAAAGATGGTAAAATGGTATAAAGGCATGGAGAATCCAATGGTGATGTCCATTTTCATGTCAGGGTGACCAATATCTAAGAATAGAAGGCTAAAAAAACATGAAAAAATTCGAAATTTCGCTTTACCCCCCCCTTAAACAAGAAAAAAAAATAAAGCTGGTCTACGTAACAAAATTATGTGGCTCCAAATTTTTAGACCTTATAGTGAACTAAATCGTTTCAGCAATTACTTCTTTGTAATTTTTTTTAACTTGAGAAAGAACATAGGGTGTGCCTATCAATTAGTCAGAAATTTATAACTTGTGCCTGCCGGTGGACCCAATGCTGAAGTCTGCGCCCACTTCTGTGATGGAGTCGCTCACCTGCGCCACCTGAAACAAAATTAACTCATTGGAATGGCTCCACTCAACGAATGTTAGACTGTCTTTAGGCGCGCTACACTAAATTAATACTCTTAAGGACAGCCTAAAGGTCTGAGTTAGTTCGAACGAGATACGAGCACTTCACCGACGAACAAATATCTCGACGGAACAACCACTTGTAATTTCATCGTAAAAAGGATTCTTCAAAGGGAGGGGCTTCTCGAGATTTTGAGAATCTTTGGAAGATTTTGTAGGATTTTTCAACATTATTAGGCAAAATTTTGCGGGATTCTGATGGGATTCCGCGAAATTTTCTCGGGTTTCAAGACGATATCAAGAGATTTTTAACAGATTGGCCCACACACACACTGTAAGGTGAATAGTACAATAAAAGTACGAGAACTGTACTAACTAACAACGAGGCCTATGCTGCACAGCACTCCTTATGCCAGTTCCATTGTACTTTGTACAACAAATGTTGTTCTTTGTAAGTACAATCGAGTACAATAAATTCCTGATCAAAAATTTGCCAGAAACTTGTGTGCCTCTGTTGTGGTTTTTTCTTGCAGTGCAGAATTGCACGTGTGGTTACCCCCTCGAAGTATCTGCTTCCCTTACGCTTGGGAAAATGATTTCAGAAGAAGCATCGTGACTCCGTGCGCCTATGTAGGACAGTGCCATACTTAAGCTGGTTGCGTTTTCTTTCACTTACAGCAGCTGCGAACAGCGCGAAGCAGAGGACGATGACGATCTTGCGGGCCATGGCTACTGATCTGGACGAAAGGTCGATGTTGCCTCCGAGTTAAAGGGTGCTTTTATACTGCAGCAACTTACACAAACGTCCCTAGAATGCCGTATCATTGCTGAAGCGAATGCCAGGTGGTTGCGTTGCTCTTCGCGGAATGGTGTCTCATTCCTGAAACGCATGTGGATGGCAGTTGGCGTTTGCTCGATTATTGCTTGTCACCGTCACACACAGCACGGCAAAAATCTAGGGGCCGAAACACAGGCGCAGACTCAGGATTTTTTTATTATTTTTTTTTTGGGGGGGGGGCTTTTTTTGGGCAATTGTGTGTCACAGGTTGCCTACCTACAGGGGCATGATCGCCGGTATTGCGACGTTACGCCGCATTGACCGTAAAAAGAGTACAGCGGGCCATTCTCGCAGCAAAATACGCATTTGAATACTCTGAACACTCTGTTATTCGAGGTGAGAGTGGATAGCAGGTCCTGATCTGTACAACTCGTGTGGTTTGGGGCGAGCGAAGCGAGCCAGAAGCAACCGACCTTATTTAAATTTGTGCTCAATTTTTTTTCTTTTGTAAGGTTTTTATGTGAAAACAATTAACACTGACTGGACGTTAAACTAATACATGTATCTGCTAGCTGCGCGAGCCGCAAGCCACTGATGTCTCAAAATTAAGAGTGGCGTTTTATTTGGTTTAGAAAAAGAGGTAAAAGAGGGAAAAGAGGGTAAAAAGATTTGGCGTTTTTCAACTTCTTTTTCTCATTACGACTGTGCTTTACGTTTTGTGATTCGAACTGACGATCCATCCTACGCCACGGCAAATTTCTCGCAGATTTCGAGTATGTGCTTCGATTTGTTCTACGATGAAGGATTGCCGAGATCTGAGCGGATTAAGTACACAATATGGCAGCAGCGCGTTGGAGAGCGCGTCACCGATCCACTTCATTTCTGCTGGCACTTCCTGTTTGAACCTGTGTCCGTAGGTGAAAACTAATGAATGGACACGATTCGTTGGTTCTTAACATGGTCGCTTTTTCCAAACGTCAAATTTTTCATTGATTTGCAAGCAATAATGGTGGCCGGCGCAGCCCTTTCCCGGCCACCGGAAGGCGGACCGGGCCGTGGCGAGCCGCCCGGGACATGGTTTCAGCCGCGCCAAGGGAGTTTCCACCCGCTGATATTTTTAGCAGATGATTCCTTTACTACTTAAAAACATACCTAGAACAATACAACACACTTAAAGGGGTCAGCTAGCTTTTACTCGAGAGTCCAGAATCCAGGTGTGTATTTTAAGAATAATATTAGGGGGGCTGGCTGCCGGGTGGGATTGTGAAGTGTCACATGGCTCGCAGTCTGCGCGAAACATCGACAACTCCTCCCCCGAGTACAGCGCCAGCGGCACCGGGCGCTCGCAATCCAACGGGAACGGTGCGGCGGTGCAGGCCACGGCACAACTGACTAAGTTTATTTACAATTTTATATACACAATCACAGAGATAGGAAGCATACTGCCACAACTAGCATCATCACAGACGAGCATCATCTGCTTCCATGAACGTTCCTTGAATGGAGATATTTTATCCAGTATCTCCTCTCCTATTGGTCGTACAGAATCGGTTCAAAATCGGGACACGACCTTCTTTGCCGGAGATGAGTTTGCAGGTGTTTCCCAGTGTTTTCCGCGCGCAGTTCGAAGGGTCCGCCGCACGCGTCTTGCGGCCTTGAAGGACAAGGGCGGTGTTGTGTTCTGGAATGCGGGTCATGGGCTCGGCTTGCAAGCGCGCCGAGAGCGCGTCGAGAGCGCGCCGGCGGCAGACACGCCGGACCTCAAGGGTCGCATGGCAAGTCCGCGTGATTTCCGCTGATCTCTCATTGGATGGCCGTGACGCGTGGGGAGAAGAAATGAGGAGAACGGGGCCTCGGAGGGGGCTGGAGGACGGCGTGGCGTCAGTCGAGGTCGGGATTAGCTTGAGCCAACACGCACCGTTCCGCGCAGCGTTTGGTCATTCCCTCCGACCCCATCGCGCGCTCGTGCCCAGATTTGCGTCGTGTGTGTCGTGGTTATTGTGCTGTGTTCTTGTTGCAAAGTGACAGTGGTGCGTAGCTTCGTGGCATTTGATTTCGGAGTGGGGTTTGCGCCCGTGCCCTCCTACGAGCTTCAGTGTGGTTGTGGTATGTTTGTTGACTGGAATGGAATGGAGTGGAATGTTTGTGACAGCGTGATCTCTGACAACTTAAGGGGGGACCCTGGTGAAAAAATCGCCAAAATTGCCAAAAATGGTATTTTTAAAGTTTATAGATAAATATGTGCATAGAAGCTTTCAGATTCAACAGGTTGAACACCTTTAAGCTAAGTGGATAGTTTCTTTATCATTTGGACGGAAATAACATTGAGATCAGTTGTCGTTGGCTTCTACGCTCAACTTCACAGCTTTGCTCAGTCTACAAAAAATTTTGTCGTAGAAAGACTTCCTGCGTTCCTGGTTGACACCTACATGAGTCGTATTGCATGGACTCTATTCATTGATGACTTGTCGACAAATTATAGTGACGGAATCTTGATATCAGCCCTACTTTTTTTAAAACACACCTAAAAGTTTGAAAAAAGGGAAAAAAATCCCTTTTTTTTTAATGTTAAAATTTGAAAACTCATATCTCAGGACAGAAGTTGAATTTGAAAATTCCGTCACTAAAATCTCTTCAATACATCTTTAGGATAACCCAAAAAAATTTTCAAGACTTTCCGTCCCACTGAAAGACGCAGGAAGATTTTTCCCCAACGCTCTAAAAAACACTAAAAAGCCACTTTTCTCAGAGACCGTTCAACATTTTGGATTGAATTTTGTTTTGGGAACTCACCATAATGAACCTAATAATTAAGCAAAGTTTCAACTTTCTGGGATTATTTTGAAGCCTACTTGAAAGTTTCACCAGGGTCCCCCCTTAACTGTTATTCAACGAATGTGACGTCACATTCGTTCAAAAGTGAATTTCGTCACATTCCTTCGAATGTGAATTTTGTCACATTCCTTCGAATGTGAATTTTGTCACATTCCTTCGAATGTGAATTTTGTCACATTCCTTCGAATGTGAATTTTGTCACATTCGTTCGAATGTGAGTTCTGTCACATTCGTTTGAATGTGTCACATTTGTTTGAATGTTGATCCCGGCTTAAACGAATGTTACTACCGCTGTGAGGTGAACGCATAATGGCCGTGTCACGTTTGTGCTTTGAGTAACAATCAAACACTTTAGTTCGCAGCAACTGTCCACACTCTACAAAAAATGTCCTGTCAACGCCGTTAATTTATTACCAATGTTTGCTGTTATGCAATTCACGGCGTTTGCTGTGAACTAGTTCACGGCGTTCACTGTGATCTCGGTTACAGTGTTCACTGTGATCTGGCAACAGTAAACGCCGTGAATTGGAGCCTGATTTGCAGTACTTCGGTGCTTAGCGGCGTCAAACTCACAGTGTTTACTGGGGACCAGATCACAGTGAACACCGCGAACAAGATCACAGTGAATCCCGTGAGCAGATCACAGTAAACGCCGTGAATTGACCTACAGTGAAAACTGGTAATAAATTAACGGCATTTACAGGACATTTTTGGTAGAGTGCATGTAGGCCTTCTAAAAGCATGCCTCACATCAAAACAAGCGAAAGTAAGCTCGAGTAGTGATACATTATAAGTTCGTCCGGGATTGCCCCATTGGTCGTCCGGAATTACCCCAGCCTTGGGTAATTCCGGACACGTGCAGGGCTTTTGTTAGGCGCCTATAGTATCTCCCTAACCGTCGCTGAGATTTGGCTTTCATGTATATCATTTTGAAGGTAAAGGCCCATACTTTACTCTCCTGTAATAATATTTGACCTTAGAAGCATGTTCAAGTTCAAAGACCAAAAAGACAAAAAGCGTCCGGAATTACCCCACTCTCCCTGTACATAGTCCGTGACTCCTATTCAATTCAGCTCCAAAGCGCGCGTGATTCAGATTCTACCAGCGCCGATGATAATGTGGGTCGCTCGTTTGGACCAGAGCCGCATGTCCTTGAAGAGGTGGCCGCAATCCGCGCCGCACATGTGTATTCCCCTAGACCCCTGGATGCTGAGTAACCCCTGGATAAATCCCTGTGTGATGCTGAGTAACCCCTGGATAAATCCCTGTGTGATGGTGAGTACCCCTGGATAAATCCCTGTGTGATGCTGAGTAACCCCTGGATAAATCCCTGTGTGATGCTGAGTACCCCTGAAAAATCCCTGTGTGATGCTGAGTACCCGGATGATGCCGAGTAACCCGGGCGCTCGCAATCCAACGGGAACGGCGCGGCGGTGCAGGCCACAGCACAACTGACTCGGTGTATTTACAATTTTATATACAATCACAGAGATAGGAAGCATACTGCCACAACTAGCACACAGGACAGTTCCAGACGAGCATCATCTGCTTCCATGAAAGTTCCTTGAATGAAGATATTTTATCCAGTATCTCCTCTCCTATTGGTCGTACAGAATCGGTTCAAAATCGGGACACGACCTTCTTTGCCGGAGATGAGTTTGCAGGTGTTTCCCAGTGTTTTCCGCGCGCAGTTCGAAGGGTCCGCCGCACGCGTCTTGCGGCCTTGAAGGACAAGGGCGGTGTTGTGTTCTGGAATGCGGGTCATGGGCTCGGCTTGCAAGCGCGCCGAGAGCGCGTCGAGAGCGCGCCGGCGGCAGACACGCCGGACCTCAAGGGTCGCATGGCAAGTCCGCGTGATTTCCGCTGATCTCTCATTGGATGGCCGTGACGCGTGGGGAGAAGAAATGAGGAGAACGGGGCCTCGGAGGGGGCTGGAGGACGGCGTGGCGTCAGTCGAGGTCGGGATTAGCTTGAGCCAACACGCACCGTTCCGCGCAGCGTTTGGTCATTCCCTCCGACCCCATCGCGCGCTCGTGCCCAGATTTGCGTCGTGTGTGTCGTGGTTATTGTGCTGTGTTCTTGTTGCAAAGTGACAGTGGTGCGTAGCTTCGTGGCATTTGATTTCGGAGTGGGGTTTGCGCCCGTGCCCTCCTACGAGCTTCAGTGTGGTTGTGGTATCGGTAAATGTTTGAGACAGCTTGATCTCTGCACTGTTATTCAACGAATGTGAGGTCACATTCATTCGAATGTGAATTTTGTCACATTCGTTTGAATATGTCACATTCGTTTGAATGTTGATCCACGCTTAAATGAATGTGACTACCGCTATGAGGTGAACGCATGATGGCCGTGTCACGTTCAAACGAATTTGACATCGCATTCAAACGAACGTGACAAAATTCACATTTTGACGAATGTGACATCACATTCGTGGAGTAACAAGTGTGTATGGACATCGTCTCGTCTCCACAGGTGCGCTAACGAAACGTACGTGGACCGTGACTCACCGTGACTCCTGTTCAATTCAGCTCCAAAGCGCGCGTGATTCAGATTCTAACAGCGCCGATGATAATGTGCACTCTAAATGTTCTACAGTGAAGATTCTCCATATTATGGTGAAAATGTTCCATATTATGGTGGTGCAGCTGACTTCGTAACATACCATTGAGAATTCACTGTACCTTATAGAGATTTTGATGAATTTCGTTGGTATTATGGAGAAAATCTCCACCATATTATGTTGGTGCAGCCTTTCACCGTGAGACATTTACTGTGTGGTACTCAGCATCATCCAGGGGTTACTCAGCATCATCCAGGGGGTACTCAGCACCATACAGGGATTTATCCAAGGGTTACTCAGCATCCAGGGGTATAGGGGAATACACATGTGCGGCGCGGATTGCGGCCACCTCTTCAAGGGCATGCGGCTCTGGTCCAAACGAGCGACCCACATGTCACATTCAAATGTCTGAAAGTTAACTTCATGATACTGAACTTAAAATTTGCGTAATAAATATGTCGCGCTGTTTCACTGCAAATCCAAGGGCAATACTTTTAGTACCTTTTTTGGCGATACAATTGTGTATCGCCAATAAACGGCCTTACGGAAAAGTATTGCCTTCAAAACGGCGATACACAAAAGTATCGCCAAAACTTGACGATACTATGGAGTACTGCCACGATTTGGCATTAAACGTTGAACAAATCAAGGGGACGAGTCCTTAGCTTAATGCCGTGGTTATGGCAATACCCAAAAGTATCGCCAAATTTTGGCGATACTTCTGTGTATCGCCGTTCTGAAGGCAATACTTTTCCGTGCGGCCGTTTTTTGACGATACTCAATTGTATCGCCAAAAAGATACTTAAGTATCGCCTTTGCATTTACAGTGGTGTGCGATTGCTCACTTTAGCGGAAGGGGACCAGTTCTCTTTTAGGCACTCCTAACGGATTTTGTGTCTCTTAAGGCTATTTTTGTGTGTGCGGTGTGTCCCTTTCTAATGACGGTTCTTTTCAGCCATCTTACAGTGTGCTAGTCTTAGCTTATGGGTTTATGTAATAGAATGAAACTTTTACCCCTAAATTGAGACACCTTAACTTACAGGTTACGCAGCCTTTTTGAACCCCCATAATGGCCAATCGTCAGAGGGAGTCTGCTTTTCATATTTATGAGTCGCCTCAGGAATGTGCACGAGACGTGTCACCCTCCCGGATGGAGTCGTCTCGGGAATGCAAACGAGATCCGTCGCCCTCGCTGGTGATAAACTTTTCTCGTTTGTGTTTCCCTTGAAACTGAAATCTAATTTTCTAATTGGTCTATGTTTTATTCTGAACAGGGGGAAGAGGGACACAGATGGGGAAGGGGGTACCGTCTTGACACTGGGAGTGTTCATGACTCAACGTCTGAGACAGACAGTATCAGCAGTTATTCCAGTCTGAACTCTGCCGGGGCACTTGACCGATCAATGGGATACGATTTGAGCTGGCCACGTTTTTCGCCTGGAATATCACATGAAGTGATCGGAGAGCGTAGCACGTCTGACCCACAGCAGATACCTGCTGTGGAGCGACAGACACATCAAGAGGCACCGAAGAATGATTTTTGGTGTGTCGTGTGCGGGGAGTTCCAAATAAATGAGTACATCCTGAGGAAGCATATGAAAAAGCGTCATCTGAAAAAGAAGGAGAGAAAAGGCACTCGCAGTAAGCAGTCTTTGAGACAAAGGATGACGTCATTTTTCGGCAGGCTCTTCGTGCACGGACAGAAGGTACATTTGTTTTTAACGTGGAATTACGTACATTTTGACTGTATCCATTCTTGGCGTATCGTTTCCTTACAGAATGACAAGAAAGAGGATGATAATGAAAGAAAGGAAACCGACATCTCTGATGTAGAGGCGGAGGTAATTACATCTTTTTTTCAAGTCTTTTGTGTTTCTGTGGAAAATGTTTTCACTCTCTTTTCTCCCCTTCACACTTTAGATGTCCGAACAAGCAGATCAACATGCTTTCATAGAACAGGTAATGAAAACTTCTGTAGATGAGGCTTTGGTGCAGTGTTCCCAATACCCTTCCCCTGATGGGAAGCTAAGGGCCCAGGTGGGATGAAATGAATTTTTGAAATGGTGAACTCTGATAGGCTGGTCACCCAAGGTGCACTAACATTTTGGCATTTGTGTCATTAAGAGGCAGAAAGTTCAGCCATCGAAAGAAGAGGTGCGTGGGCAGGCTGCCGCGCTACCTGTCAAGCGGCCCGGCACGCCGGTGGTGGCACAGCGGAGGGCTCCTGCCCAGCTGGAGGACGCGCGCCGCGAGCTGGACGAACTGGTAAGGGAGAGTGGGGCCATGTGTAACAGGTTTGGGAATTATCTATAGAAATACAGAATATTCTGCCTATCGGCGCCAAACTTGTGCCAGGTGAGTAGTACAGCTCCATAGGATCAATCTGGAATCCGCAAGCTTCAAGATATAAGTCGCTTTCGGAAACTCTTGCATGCTGTTACGAATCGCCCCAGCACTGGGATATTTGTAACAGCCATTAAGCCCTTCGTAACACCCTACATACCAAATGACACACCGTCGGGAATGCTTTCTCCTCCAGTAGTTCTTCACTCTGCAAACTGAAGTGTGTACATAGTACGTACACTCTTATTAGAGCATGCTTCCAAGTACACTCTTATTTACAGCATACTTGCTAGGTACCCACTAAAATAGAAAGTACATTGCATGTACACGCTAAATAAGAGTGTACCTGGCAAGTACACTTAAACTGGCCCATGCTTTTAGATAGGACTTATCGAGTGTATTTTAGCGTGTACATGGAACGTTCACACTTATTTAGCGTGTACTTGCCAGGCACACTCTATTTTAGCGTGTGCCTAGCAAGTATGCTGTAAATAAGAGTGTACTGTGTACACACTTCAGTTTGCAGAGCAGGTGTCCTGCGGACGCCTTAAAATCTACATTACCAGCTGCCGTTGACCGTCTCATCATTATCTGACCGGCTAATGTCGACCCTTACCTCACATTTGTCAATCGGTGGATGGAATAGAATAACTCGCTTTAATAACATTCTGATCTGTGTGAATGTATTGAAATAAGGCAGCAGATGATTCGACAAATAATTCAAGCACAAATTTACATAAACTACCGAAATTCTGTTTTTAAACGAGTCTGTTACGAATCATCCCCACTCGGTGTTACGCTAAAAGTACGTCCCCAACCATCACTGGACAAATAGGCCAGGCAAGTTAGGAAAAATCTCCTCGAAACCGGGAAAAAATTGCAAACAAAGCATGTGAGGTATCGTTGGAAAGGGCATTAGCTCTGGAACCGAACGGCGCAAAAATCCACCAAATCCACTTTGGGCGTTCCGAACAGTTTTGAACAGAAGTTGAACATGTTGTACATTTTTGGAACGTGCGTAGTTTCTAAACCGTTCGACCGATTGTAATGCGCGGCACACCGTTGAACGCGGAATAAAACGCCCTTTCTGCCGGTACTAGGTTTGTGTGGGTTAAAGTTTGACTAAGTGTGCCAAAAACGGCCTCAAACTCAAAAAAGTGAATTTCCTTTCTGCCATAAAAGTGTTCAAAGCCAATTTGGTCAAGAAAAAGTGAGAAAATGCGAAAATGTTCTTCAGCAAACGTTGTAGCGCGTACTTTTCTCTACAAAATAAACATATGGTGTCTTTCTGCACGTAGATTAATAAAGTGGCTATGCCGCCCGCCGCAAACCACTGCACGCCGCGCGGCTCAGGGGGCGCTGCCCGGCCCGGCCGCCGGGCAGAGAACTGCAGCCCACAGCCACCCACTGCCGCCTGGCGCGGCGCGCGGGCTTTTTTTTGGCAACAATAGGAAGCAAAGGGTCTCATCCAACCCGCGCCTCGCGCACAACCGCGCACAACGCTTTTTTTTTAAGTTTTTTTTTTGTTTCGTACCATGGAAAATTCAACATGCCTTTTGTGTGGGGAGGTCCTTGAGAGTGACATAGTCACCGTCACTCGGGGGCTATCAAAATTAGTAGAGTGCAGCCGCAAATGGAGGGATAACGTGGCCAAGCTACTCGCCGGCGTCGAGGCAGTAACTGTTCACAACGCATGCCGCAAGAGATACACCAACGAGAAGATCATTGCTGTTGAACTGAAGCGCGGAGCCTGCCGAAAGCCGAACCGGCGGGCATCTCTGTCGGAGCCGTTCGACTACAAGACCCACTGCGTCGTGTGCGGTTCGCCTTGCCCGCCACTGGAACAACGCCTGAAGCATCCAGATAGAAACCCTGTGAGTACAGTGGCCACTCTCACTGTTCACGATTCAATGCGCTCCGTGGCAGTCAACCGAAAGGACGCATGGGGCCAAGAAGTTACTGACCGAATCAACGCCGTTTTTGACTTGGTGGCTGCCGAGGCCATCTATCATCGACAGTGCTACATTAACTTTCGTGCAAAAAGATGTAGTATTCCTGCACCCACGCCACCGGTGGGCAGCAACCGTACAGGCTCCGGCGGCTCCGGCGCGCCACTCAGTGACAAAACTCCAGGAAGACCGCTCGATGACGGGAAAGAGCAGGGCTTTCGTGCACTTTGTCGGTTCCTGGAAACATCTGACGAATGTCAGTTCACGCCCAAAGAACTGCAGTTAAAAATCAAAGAATTGTGCCCCCTATCTGAAACTTTTACGGACAAATACCTGATTCAGAAATTGAAGGCAAAGTACGAGGCAACTGAGGCAATTTGCGTGACAACTCTTCCGAGCAAACAGACTCTGGTGTGCTTCCGCGGTACTGCAGCGAAAATCCTCCATCAAAACTGGTACGAACAGAGGCGCAAGAACCCGATGGAGGAGAGGATCAGAATCGTCAAGGCAGCGGCAGCAATCATCCGGGAGGACATCAGAGCCCAGCCGTACGACACGTCCAGATATCCAACACCAGGTCAGTGGCAAGGCGAGGCTTCAAGTCCATATCATGAACTCTGTCCTGATTTTGCCGTCCACGTAGACGACCTGCGCGGCTGCGGCGACAACGTCATCCCGCCGACACTGCAGACGCTCGTCGAGGACGTCGTCTGCAAGGGAAGGTCTGGAGACATGCGGCGCGCGAAGGCGGTGTGCAGGACGCTGGAGGAGGCCATCATTGCAGAGACAAGGCCCAGGTCCTTTGTGTCGCCGATGCAGGTAAATTTTTGGCCTTCCCTCGGTCGGAAATACTCTGCGACTGCAGTTTTGCGCGGGAGGTCTAGACACCAAAGGATATTGTTGCCAGGGGGCTGCGGGAATACTCTGTGACAGCAGTTTTGCAGGGTGCCGGAAATACTCTGTGACTGCAGTTTTCCGCGAGGGGTCTAGACACCAAAGGAGATTGTTGGCCCGGGACTGCTAGAATCTATGACGCGCGGAGTAGAGACGCCTTGGGGGTCCAGCGTTCGTGCATTCCACTAGGTTTTAACTTTTGCTGATTAAATGCGACTGTGGCAGGTCGGCCTTGCTGTCTGGCTGCACCGTCGGTACGCGTCCCGTGCCCTCGTTGACGTCCTGCACGCTAATTTGGACCAACAAGAAGTTCAGCGGATCGGCGAGAAGTTCCTTCTGAAGCTGTATGGAGCGAGGCAAGAGAGAAACCTGAACACGCTGAGACACGTTCTGTACCAAAGAACTGTCGCTCGCCAAGATCCTGGAAAGGTTCAAAAAGGATTCGAGATGGCGTCCCTCCCACCCACGTCCGAAGCGGCACACCAGCATGCACTGCGAGTCTATCTGCAGGTCCAAGACTGGCTGGGAATGAAGTTAAGACCAGAAGAGTGGGGTTGGTCCCAAGACCAACAATCCGGACGGCTGTATCCAGTTCCAACTTTGAAGCCTACAGCGCCTGAATTCCTCTTAAAAATGGCATACTGCAGTTGCAGCTCAGATTGCGGTAACCGATGCCCCTGCAGGCCAAACAAGTGCACCACCATGTGCAACTGTTCGGGGCACGCGTGTGGCAACGCCGTCGCCGAGGAGGACGTTGCAGAACAACTCGAAGCAGATCCAGATGACCCGGAGGTGTACGTAACGCAGAAATCTTAACATTTCCCGGGGGGGGGTTAAGCCCTTTGGGAATGCCTAATACGCCGCTGAGGAGGACAGAGCAGGCAAGGTGATGATGCGGCGGGCAGGGGGCTCCGGCGAGCGGCCGGGCGGCGCGGCGTCGGGAGGCGCGGCGACGGGCGGCCAGGCGGCGACCAGCCTCTCACCTTGATGAATAAACTTACAATTGACAAGTTGGTGTTTATTTTGTAGAGAAAAGTACGCGCTACAACGTTTGCTGAAGAACATTTTCGCATTTTCTCACTTTTTCTTGACCAAATTGGCTTTGAACACTTTTATGGCAGAAAGGAAATTCACTTTTTTGAGTTTGAGGCCATTTTTGGCACACTTAGTCAAACTTTAACCCACACAAACCTTATACCGGCAGAAAGGGCGTTTCATTCCGCGTTCAACGGTGTGCCGCGCATCACAATCGGTCGAACGGTTTAGAAACTACGCACGTTCCAAAAATGTACAACATGTTCAACTTCTGTTCAAAACTGTTCGGAACGCCCAAAGTGGATTTGGTGGATTTTTGCGCCGTTCGGTTCCAGAGCTAATGCCCTTTCCAACGATACCTCACATGCTTTGTTTGCAATTTTTTCCCGGTGGATATCTAACTTTCCTGTACTAAAAGTCAGGATAACTTGCACCACGTGGTTACATTATAAAGGGGTCACGCTTTAAGGCCCTAAAGGTAGGAGACTGATACCTAGGGAGCCTCAGATAGAAGCTTCCTAAAACTCAAAATCTAGGATTTGCCTGCTTTCGGTTTACCCGGGTTTGTCCTATCTTTCAGACTCCAAAATTATACCTGTGCATCGATCACATCCGCTTCGATTGTTCAAGGACCCTCTACTACCAGCGAGAGTGGGGCCCTACTCAGATGTTCTTCTGCACCCTCCTCTTGAATGTGATACACATGTGAAACGAATCGCCCCAGTCTCCCTGAAGCGCAGTCCTCGCCTCAGACTGCACTCGTCATCCCCCGGCAGACGGCGCAATGGGGTACTTTCGTAGGTCCTGAACCGGAAGCATGCAGACGCCATATTGTCCGGAAACTAACCTCTCTTCGGATCTGGAACTAGAGCCGAGCTGCACAAATATTGCTCGCGACACACGTACTTTTTTTCACAGTGGGGGCGCGGCAAGAGGACGCCATCGGCGGGGAGCAGCAAGGCTGGCAGCGAGCAGACTTCTACTAGCAAGCTGAAGACTCAGTCGTGAGTAGCACCTCTACACTAAGTAATTTGTTAAAATTTGTAAAAGCCGTTTTAGTGTGTTTTTTTTTGCATATGAACTTTTCTTACGAAAAACTGCAAAAGCTCCATCTTTGTGCTAGATCGCGTACAAAGTCGGGGGCACGCCAGATCA